AGCCAGAAGAAACACTTGAACTTGCAGATTCCGGAATGAATTTTCAGTACTGACAGATTTAATATGTGTTTAGTGTTAAACTGAGTAAATTTGATTTGGAAGCCCCTAAGGAAAAAAAATTAATTGATTTTATAATGCCATTTGTACAAGCTGTGACATAAAATAGTTTGAAAAAGGATTTGTGATCAATCATTAGAATAAGAACATTTATTTGTTTGGCAATATTCATGTATCTTTCTATTTCTTTTAGTCAGTCACAGAATCAGAGAATGGTTGAGCTTGGAAGAGACCTCTGGAGGTCATCTGGTCCAACCCCTCTTGGTCAAGCAGGGCCACCTAGAACCAGTTGCCCAGGAGCACATTCAGACAGCTCCAAGGTTGTTGGAGATATTAAATCACTAATAACAATTCTCTTTTTACTTAAAGAAATAAAATTATCCAATCATGGAGCTAAAAAGTGTTGTATGAGGTAAGTGACCATATGCTTAATGACTATCTATCTGAAGCGAATGTCACAATTTGCAAGGAATTATTAGGTTGAAATTTCTTGGAAAAAAGCCTTATCCAAATAATTATATTTTAAACTACATATGAAAGATGAGACACAATCTATCAGATATAATCTAATACAACTCTAATACACTGATTAAAGTCTACAGATTTTACCACTGTTTTATGATTGCTCAAAATTACTAAAACAGTCTTCCACATCTACCACAGCTTGTAATGTTATTTTCAGTAAATTTTATTTGATAGTTATTTGCTGCCGTTCTTAAAAAAATAAATGTAATCTGAAGAATTCCCTATTTTGCTAAATCCTCTAAAGATTTAATAGAACATACTGCAGCCATGGACTATGTGAATATATTCAAGGTAGGTCAAGCATATTTTGCATTCTGTTGAGCAGGTCTAGAAATCCAGAGTGAATTAATGAGTTCAAATACTTAATCTTTAGCATGGAATTTGATTTACTAAATGCCATCTTTATTCTTGGAGAAAACAAAGCAGGTTAAAATCAGAAGTTCATATTTCTAATGTGGGTAGGACAGAAGTATTCCATTTTTTGTTTCTGTGATGTTTTTAAGCAAATAAGACATTAAACTAAACTTCCATTATTTCTGTTGCAGAAATAATTAGAGAGAAATTAGAAAGCATAATTCATGTGAGAACAAAAGATTATTGGTCTAGCAGTTTGACTGCTCCGTTGGCAAATATTATTAAAAGAACTTTGTACCAAAGAGAGAGAGCGAGAAAGTATTAGGAAAGATGAAAGGCCAGGCAGCAACAAGAGATTGGTCTTTCCCTTCCACAAATACACAAGCAGTAGATGCTATGGCAGAGGAAAGAAAGAAAAGGAGCTACCTGTTTCAGTGGACCACCAGTGGCGCAGCCTCCAAGAAAGGGAGCAGCAGCAGTAGGAGAAGGTAGCAGAGCTTACTGTAGATTTTTATAAACAAGTATAACTTGTTTATAAACAAGTAACATGGTAAACAGCTGTGATTTTATGCTGGTTCTGCTACACCAGAACAAGCAGATCAGCTAAAATTCCCCTGTACTCTGCTGGGTAAAAGCTGCTGAAGTTTATCATTATTACATTTGTTTTCTCATCCTAGTTTGTTTTCTCATCCTAGTGCAGGAAAGAAAGACAAACTAATCCACTACATCGCCACAGAGTAACAGAACAACTCCACTAACTTCTGGTTTTGTCAAATTTCAGATCTGAGCCGACCATGGTTTTATGATCACCGTTCCATCAACAAAAAATGTGGCCTTCACAGTATATGAAAATGGTTTTCTTCAACTAAATATCAAGACAAATCTACAGTCTTCTAACATAATGTTCTGAACCTGCACAGTATGCCCATCTTCAGCAGCATAGCCTCTGCAGCACACACCAGGATATAGCCAATCCCTGATCTGAGACTCTGATGGCGAGTGCTGTTGTTCTCTACCTGTGTTAGCAGGAAACCTAATTGCCAGAGACATGCTTTACTGTATTTAAATTTGGGATTCAGTCAGAGGTCTCTGAACAAAATTATCTGTCCTGAGATGAACAGGCATTCATATCAGGTGATCTGATAGTCCCCTCTGGCTGTAAACCATGAAACCTAAGACTTGAACAAACAGTTCCCATTAGGCTCTTAGCATTATAAACAAAAGTTTACTTCATATCTAACATTCTTTTTGCACTAGAGGAAAACATAAGAACTGCTAAGAACACACATTGCGTAACTTGAGCAACAGCCACCATTAGTCCAAAGCCTTTCAGACAATGCTTGGAACTTGCACAGTTTTCTGTGATGTTGCATCATGCATCACACAACACATTGCATGTGTTGTGCTGTGAAAACTGGAGAAACAGATCATCTGTGGAATTAGAATTGTCCAACAGCCAGGAAAATATCTCGAATTTTGTGCAACAGGCAGAACAGAATTACCTTTAATGTTGCTTCAGACACAATGCTTATACCTCCCAAATAGACGGGCTGATATTATGTAAAATGTGTTACCACTATCAGTTAAATTAACCTAACTTTAACCACTGCCATTTAATTATCTTCATTTTTTCCAGGTTAATTTAGGCTGAAGAATTAAAAATATCTACAAGCTGTTAGAAATATATTGCTTTTGTATTTTAAACGTTACCACATTATATAGCAATTAGGAGTTGTCATTTGGGAAAGCACCAGACAGAGTTATGAAAAATAGTTGCAGAGCTTTACAGAAAGTAAAAATACCATATGCTACCATTCATTGTAATTCCTGGTCTAAGGTATTAAGAAGTCTCAACTTTGATATCTCATGTGCACTATTTTTCTCTAAGAATAAACAAGAGAACTACCTAATCAAAATCAAGTACATTGTAAGTCTTTATCAAAGAAATCTGCATAGCCACAAAACTGGGGGTTTCTGCAGTGTGCTAAAATATGGACAGAATTTCTATATTCACAGTTTTAATTTTCTGAAGGAGAAAAATGAAGTATTTCCCATTGGGAATATCTGAAGAAAAGCACTGCTTAAAATACGTTACATTTATTAAAAAAAGAAAAAAGGATAAAAACGAATGTTTTTCATCATTATTTGAGCTCTATGCAACATACAGTCTAATTTACCTGTACCCTCAATGGTGACTGGAAATAGCTTATTAAATACTCCAATGTTATCAATCAGCCTCATATGCAGACTTTCTTGTTATCGTAAGTCAAATAAATAATGTACACAGGACATAATGGCCAACAGATGAAGTTTATGGCTTTGGATCAGATTTCACAGTGGCATGAAACTCCAATTTATCATTCAATCTTCCGCTTCACCATATAGAAAATGTTACTCTCTGTGATATTTTCACTGAACCCCTATGCAATGTTAATAGAAGAATTAAATAATTATATTAACTCGTAGTACTCCTTTTTGAAATTAGTTCTGGTGAATGCATTATAATCTTTGTTTTTCTTAAAGATCTTCTTCAAAGCTAATTTACTGTATTTTTGGCAGTGCCGCTTCACAAAAACTTGGAGAATAGCTAAGAAAATCAAGCTTCAGGTGACAAAATCAGGCTTTAAGAAAGGGAAAGACAAACACTACTTTGGTTTCCTGAAGTACTGCCATGAAGAATTAGAAATTAGTATTAGAGTCAGACAGAAGTTGTAGACTTCAGATTTGAACTGGAATTTCCCACTGCCCTTTCACACCATCACCTGTCACTACAAAAAAGAATTTGTAGAAAAATTGATTTGCAGAATATCTTCCCCTGTTAGAAAATGGATTTGTGAGATTTAAGAACTATTTGTGTGTCATACGTTTCTTAAAAGTCATTAGATTGATAGCATCTGTTAGCAAGCCTCAGTGAAGAAGCAGGAAGGTATAAGTTTCTACTCATGCTAATTTCAGCCTAGGCACACCTCTGAAAAAAGGAATGAATCAGAGGTCTTGTGATAATTTAATACCTTTTTCATTTTCCTAGCAGCAAGCATCATAGGAAAGTTAAGCAAATTTTATGTTAGGACTATGAGACTGAAATATTAAGAAGAAAAACATTATTAATGTTAAGACCATCGGTTTGTTCTTAGACAACAAAGTAGTTGTAAAAGCAATAACTATTCTTGAAGGTATCAAAGGAGTTTAAGCTTATTAGGATGGTATATAAAGTTAAAGCATAAAGATAATGCAGTGGAAGGCAATACAGAGTAGGTTAAGTGCAGACACTGTAACCCAGGGTCTTTATCCTCCTGTGTTTTTTGACAAAGGTACACAGAACGAGATTGCATGTCAGTATATGTAGTGGTAAAAGGGAGACAGAAAAGACACTTCTTAATCCAGTTTGTGGATCAGACATTGACAAAAGATAACCTTCTATATCATCAGGGTTGTCTTTTCCTAGTAGAAGACAGCTTTGGATATCAGAGCAGATGAACTTGGTTTTTATCCAACAATTATACTTTGCATCAACTATTCCATAAAGCAGCTATTACTTATGTGTGCAATAAGAAAGATGCATAGAGGCTATTTTTTTCCCTGAGTTCCACATAGAAATCTCTATCTTTAACAATTCATTGTTCAGAGATACCCAAGTTAAATATATCTTGGTTGCCTAGCTCACAGTAGTTATTGCAGAATGCAAATGAATGCAGAGAAATTTTCCCATGTTTCCTAAGACAAGTCTGCTTTAATTCCTTAGGAAGACAGAGTATCACATTGCCAAACAATCCTGAGCCTCAGCAGTAACTGGAAGTTCAACTATTGAGGCTTGGTAAGACATCATTATCTTTTCAATACACTCTTTTAATAACAATCATGTAACGTTTATAAAGTGGCGAAAGTGCCTAGATTTTAGTGAGCTTTTGTTCCTGCCATAGTTCACAAAGTTTCTTTATCTCTTTTCTCTATGAACCATTTCCACACTAGGTCTAACATTGCAGTGATCAATGATCATTCACCTCTAACTCCAGCACTCCAACTGTCCTAAGAAATTCATCAATGCTACAAACTACTGACCTTACCCTAAACCCATCTGATTGCAGGCCAGTTGGCTTAAATTTTCTTGCCACTCATCAGCACAAACATGGTTATCAGCAGCTGACCTGTGAATGGTCAGGAACATCAAGGAATTCATGTTTTTAGACAGGGTAACTGCAAAGAAAAAGAAAAAGAAGAACAACTTCACTATTATTTCACATCATAGTTAGTTTTATAAATGGCATACTGAAAACATAGAATCATAGAATCATAGAATCATTAAAGGTTGGAAGAGACCTCAAGATCATCGAGTCCAACCATCAACCCAACAACACCATACCCACTAAACCATGTCCCTAAGCGCCTCATCTACCCGCCTTTTAAATACTTCCAGGGATGGTGACTCAACCACTTCCCTGGGCAGCCTGTTCCAATGTTT